TGGTACACACGTTGTAGGGCACAGGTAAAGGTTATCAGAATAATGACTTCACAGTGCGATGGTTCCGAATGTTCATTTCGGGTGTGCTGGCGTCCCGTGTCCACTGGGAGGCGTCAGAACGCCGTTGGTGGATCCCCAGTCTGCCTGGGAGAGATTAGCCAGACCCGGTTTGATCTTTGATCTCGCCAGAGAGGGAGGCAAGATGTTTATTCTGAAGTTAAATAATTTGTCCCGGTTTGAAGGTTGGTATCTTTGTGACTGATTGTAGTTCTCCATTCGACCCTCTTTATTCCTGTTTGCAATCCTCGTCCTTGGGGCTTTTCCTTAGTGCACATTCTTCAGAGGGCCTGTTCTTAAAATCATTAGTAGACAACATTTTAATTCTACAACACATCCTAAAATGTATTATTAATGTTTTTATCGTCACATCCAGGTTTACCGTCGGTCGCATATTGTCGCATTAAAACAGTGTTTTTTCATGAAAACGTGAACAGAAAATTCTGAAAACCTCTGTGCAAATGTATTAAGAATGTATATGTATAATGTATTCTCCGATATTAACATTTAATGTGTTTATTGTTACACCATGGATCTATGTGTGGCTACACTGCAGTGGAAATAATGAGATTACATTCAAATCAATGGAGCTTTCTGCGTCTTCTACTGTGAGGAGCCGTATAATTTTATTAATAAATACTAGTACGGGGCACCCCTCGAGCACGGCTCAGTCGTTCACATGGTCTGCTGGCCTTCGGTAAGTCAGATACTCTGTGACCGGGGTGAGGTCCTGTGTGAGACCAAATATATAACAGCTATGCTACAAGCTAAGCTAAAGTCTATGGAGCAACCCCCCGTTGCAGTCAGACAGATATGTTTTATCCTCAAACTTCTGTTTGTTTCGGAATAACACTAAATCCGCCATCAAATTGATTTCACTTAGCAGAAATGAAATGATCCGAGCATATTCGGGCGCTCTGGGGAATATTAGTTTTTGTTGTTTGCGTTATGGTTGTGCCATTTCTCTCTCGTTTCTTTGAGATGTCTTCTGTTTTTGAGCCGTGTGAAGTAAGGACGGCTGGCAATCGGTAACACAACTTTTTTCCCCGTCTCTCCTTTTGCTGCAGCCAAAAACGGCAAAAATGTTGAACATGTTTATGCGGGTCCCGGGTGCACGCCACTATCATACAGCGTTTGCTTGTCCTCCAGTATGGCGGAGGCCCCGCGAGTTCGAGGCATCGTGACGTCACGTGAGATATCTATTGGATTACATGTGGTGTGAACGTGATCTTTCTCTTGTTTCCCAGCCCATAGATTGTTTTAGTAGTTAAAAAAAAAATTCACAATTTTCAGACATTTTGAAGTTTACGGTAAAGATTTTTTCATTTAACAAAAAAGCAATGAATTTTTTTCTTGTGGGTTTTAGATGTGAACACAACCGACTGACTAGAGCTGCATGTAGCTTATGCTACTTACGAGGATACATAACATTTGTGATCAGAGCATTCAGAGTGGGGACATTATTAAGAACAAAACTGAGGCTGGCAGTAGAGAGGTGTGCGGGTATAGAGAGGTGTGCGGTATAGAGAGGTGTGCGGTTTTTTATAGCGAGGTGTGCGTATAGAGAGGTGTGCCGGTAGAGAGAGGTGTGCAGTATATAGAGAGGGTGTGCGTATAGAGAGGTGTGCGGTTTTATAGAGGTGTGCGGTTTATAGAGAGGTGGTGCGGTAGAGAGAGGTGTGCGGTAGAGAGAGGTGTGCAGTATAGAGGAGGTGTGCGGTTAGAGAGGTGAGTGTGCAGTATAGAGAGGTGTGCGGTATAGAGAGGTGTGCGGTATAGAAGGTGTGCGTATAGAGAGGTGTGCGGTATAGAGAGGTGTGCGGTATAGAGAGGTGTGTGGTATAGAGAGGTGTGCGGTACAGAGGTGTGCAGTATAGAGAGGTGTGCGGCATGAGAGGTGTGCGATAGAGAGGGTGTGCGGTAGAGAGAGGTGTGCGGTAGAGAGAGGTGTGGGGGGGGGGGCGGTGAGAGAGGTGTGCAGTAGAGAGAGGTGTGCAGTAGAGAGAGGTGTGCAGTAGAGAGAGGTGTGTGCGGTATAGAGAGGTGTGCGGTATGAGAGGTGTGCAGTTATTAGAGATGGTGTGCAGTAGAGAGAGGTGTGCGGTATAGAGAGGTGTGCAGTATAGAGAGGTGTGCGGTATAGAGAGGTGTGCGGTTTAGAGAGACGGCTGTGCAGTAGAAGAGAGGGTGTGCAGTATAGAGAGGTGTGCGGTAGGAGAGGGTGTGCAGTATAGAGAGGTGTGCAGTAGAGAGGTGTGCAGTATAGAGAGGTGTGCGGGTTAGAGAGAGGTGTGCAGTATAGAGAGGTGTGTGCGGTAGAGAGAGGTGTGCAGTATGAGAGGTGTGCAGTAGTATGAGAGGTGTGCAGTATTTAGAGAGGTGTGCGGTAGAGAGAGGTGTGCAGGTATAGTAGAGGTTGTGCAGTTTTATAGAGAGGTGTGCGGTATAGAGAGGTGTGCGGTATTATTATAGAGGTGTGCAGTATAGAGAGGGTGTGCGGTATAGAGAGGGTAGTTGCAAGAGTATAGAGAACGTGTATGTGCAGTATAGAGAGGTGTTGCAGGTAATAGTTCCCTATCATTTTAGAGAGTTGGGTAGAGAGGAGGTTTGTGTGCAGTATCGAGGAGAGGTGTGCGGTTTAGAGAGGAGGTGCTTGCGCGGTTTTGGTTTAGTTATTAGGGGGTTAGATGTCCCGATAGGACGGTTAGAGAGAGTTAGAGATTTTTAGAAGTTTTTTTCTGATATAGAGAGAGAGAGAGTAGGAGAGAGGTGGTGGCGAGTTATAAGAGAAGGTGTGCTAGTTTTTAGTAGAGAGGAGGTGTGTGCGGGAGGGATTGTATAGAGGGTGTGCGGCTTTTTGTTTATTTATATTATAGAGAGTGCGTGTGCGGTAATGAGAGAGTAGTGCGGGTTTAGGGACGGTAGACGGAGAGGTGTCCAATGTCCATTACAGTACTGTCTCTGAATGTCATCATCACTGAGGTCACTCCTGATGACGTTGCCTCAGGTATTTGGCCTTCTCTACATTCAGAGGCTTCCACAGACAAATATGTCCAAAGTGCAGCTTTGGGTAAGTTTATAAAAGCTCCGTGTGTAAGCATTCGATACCTCGTAAGTAGCATAAGCTACATGTAGCTCTATCGTCAGTCGGTTGTGTTGACATCTAAAACCTCAAGAAAAAAATGCATCGCTTTTTTGTTAAATGAAAAATCTTTACCTTACCTTCTAAATGTCTGAAATTGTTTTAATCGCTACAAAAATCACCAATCGATGGTGGAAAAAAAAAATAAAAAAAAAATAAAAAAAAAAAAAAAAAAAAAAAAAAAAAGAAAAAAAACGAGAGGGGACAGATCACACTCGCAATAATCTAATAGAGCATGAAATCATGCCCACTTTGAGAATACTACCCACAATGCCGTGCGGTCGAGCCGGAAGCTCGGAAAGCATGTATGGGGCTCGTGCAGCTGACGCATACGCAGGTGTTTTTTATTTTACATACTGTATTAACGGACGTAGTCACGTCTATATCCGTCGTTCTAACTAATGGGCCAAAAATTAGGCTTTCATGGAGTGATTCAAAATGGCCGCAGGGACTGGAAAATGTGAAAAAATGCCTCTGAGCATGAGTCAGCTGCACGAGCCCCATTCATTTAAACGAGTGACTTCTAAAGTCCACAGCGACTAAACTAGACTGGTCCAGAACACTCAGCATTGACACACATGTGGAACGGAGCTTTGGGCCAAGAGCAACTTTTGGTCCATCCTGTAAAGACGTTTTCCAGAGGTCTGCTAATGCTATATGTTAGCATTGGCCAATTCTTATTTTGTCCACCCCCACAGGCCCGGGGTGGTACTGCAGCATGTCAGCGCACGTCATTTTGGCCACTTTTGAGCCGGGACCCAACCCCACTGTTTTTTTCCCCGCCACATTTTCCAGCCCCCTCGGCCATTTTGAATCACTCCATGAAAGCCCAATTTTTGGCCCATTAGTTAGAACGGCGGAGAGACGTAGTCATGCCTATTAATATTTACAGTCTATGCCCAAGACTCACACTTGCTCTAATGAATGCTTTTATACTTTTGCCCCCACTGGTCCTGTATGCCCTACTGTGTACTGACAGATTAAGGATCTTAGCCTGAGCTCAATGAAGCCCAATAAAGGAAGTGCTCATGGTGAAGTTTGGCCCCCGTTGACCAGCTCAGTATTGGAATATAAATAAAAACACATCAGTTTGGACAAAACTGAAAACGGCCACTGCTCTACCAACTGAGCTACTGGGGCGACAGTAGCACAGTTGGTAGAGCATTGGCCTTTGAGCCTGGAGGTCGTGAGTTCGATTCCCACCATGGGACCTACTCCAACTGCTCCCACTGATGTCTACTGTCGTTGTGTCCTTGGGCAAGACACTTAACCCCACGTTGCCTGATGCCCCCGCTGAAAGACCAAGGCTGTTTCACCGCTGACAGAGCAGCCATCTTCCTGTGGACTCACCCCCTGCAGAGGATCAGAGGGACTGGTGCTATGAGCGCTGGGTGGCAGCTCTCATTGCCACCCCCCCGACCCAGAAATGGACAATACTGGGACTTGAAAATGAATGAACAGTTTGGACAAACACTTTATTTCCAAAGAAACATTGATCAAGTTTGTTGCTTCAACGTTAAAAGTTGCTGGTTTTGTCGCAGCTTCAGTGAAGTCCATTTGGTGCAGATTTAAAAATCAGAAAGTCAAAATAAAAAGTGTTAAAACTACAGAGACTACAGAGAATTATAAGTGTTAAAACACAGATCAGAGGACCAACCATGTGCAGAACCTCACACCTGGTGCTACCTCCACAAGCTAACATTAGAATCATAAAAAAAACATTAAAACGATTGAATCCTTTAGATTAAAAAAAGGATTTCAGGAAGAACTTCAGCGGCAACATCGCACACTTCGGGACACCTCAGAAATGTGCCTCCACCTGCGGCCCCTCGCCTTGCTCACGTGCCTCCACCTGCGGCCCCTCGCCCTGCTCACGTGGCCCCACCTGCGGCCCATCGCCCTGCTCACGTGGCCCCACCTGCGGCTCCTCGCCCTGCTCACGTGGCCCCACCTGCGGCCCCTCGCCCTGCTCACGTGGCTCCACCTGCGGCTCATCGCCCTGCTCACGTGGCCCCACCTGCGGGCCATCGCCCTGCTCACGTGGCCCCACCTGCGGGCCATCGCCCTGCTCACGTGGCCCCACCTGCGGCCCATCGCCCTGCTCACGTGGCCCCACCTGCGGCCCCTCGCCCTGCTCACGTGGCTCCACCTGCGGCCCATCGCCCTGCTCACGTGGCTCCACCTGCGGCTCATCGCCCTGCTCACGTGGCTCCACCTGCGGCCCATCGCCCTGCTCACCTAGCCTCTCGATCTCGTCCCATGGCACCTTCCCCTTTTCCAAATAGCTGGAGCACTTGGGGCAGGTTTTGTGCCTGGAGAGCCACCTACGCAGACACTCGAAGTGGAAGTAGTGCAAACAGGGCGTGAGGGAACAGTCCGGGCTGAACGGCAGCAGACAGACGCTGCACACGTCATCAATGAGCTGGAGCTGCGCCTCTGTCAGTGTCACGTGCCACGTCACTCTGCTTACCATACTCCTCTTCAACCTCCGGTATTTCTCCATCTCCGACCGGTAATCGTTCATCTGCAGGTCAGAGGTCAGAGTGAGCACACTGAAAAAAGTAAACAACCAAAGACACACAAAAGGATGGGAGACAGCAGGTGTCTTCCCCCCCTCCCCCCTCACCCGAAGGAAGATGTGGCTGCATATGTGCAGAGACATCAGGAGGAGGTGACTGAAACGCCTGGAGTCAAACATGAAGCCGTAGGCGTTTATAGCCGCCATCAACGCGCCAAACACCATCATCATCAGGTGCTGCAGCGAGAGGGCCCTGGACACCTCACAGTCCCTCTGGTCAGTGTTCTGGATGCTTCTCACGACCACGGAGCCGCAGAGGCCCAGCAGCACCTGCACGGACAGACATGTGACTTTATCGGCCTGTGGGGGAAACTGGAGCACCTGGAGGAAACATTGAAAGAACCTTCTGAAGGCTTAAAATAAGACAGGATAGCAGATAGCAGGTACTTTTTAAAAAAATTGCATATTGTGATAAAGTTCATTATTTTCTGTAATGTACTGATAAATGTTAGACTTTCATATATTTTAGATTCATTAGACACAACTGAAGTAGATCAAGCCTTTATGGTTTTAATATTGATGAATTTGACAAAAAAAAAATCCCCATCTCAGAAAAAGAGCACATGATGAAAAGGTCTAATCGAGCCATTAACCTAATCATCTGAACTCTAAACACTTGAAAACTCCCGGCCTGGTTCATTGCTCAAAACTGCAATCATGGGTAAGACCACCGGACTGCTGTCCAGAAGGCCATCATTGACACCCTCAAGCACGAGGGTAAGACACAGAAAGACATTTCTGAGCCAATAGGCTGTTCAACCCCAGGAGGTGACCGGACCCTGAGGAGGATGGTGGAGAAGGGCCGATTCCAGACCTTGGGGGACTCTGAAGCAGTGGACTGAGTCTGGAGCAGAAACATCCACAGCCATCATGCACAGGCGTGTGCACTAAATGGGCTACAGAAACAGCGGCAGAAGCACCGACCTGAGAAGCAGCATTGGACTGTTGCTCAATGGTCCAAAGTACTTTTTTCGGATGAAATCAAGGTGCCAGACTGGGGAGAAGGAAATGCCAAAACGCCAAAACGCCTGAAGTCCAGTGTCAAGTACCCCCAGTCAGTGATGGTCTGGGGTGTCATGTCAGCTGCTGGTCCACTGTGTTTTATCAAGGGCAGGGTCAATACAGCTGCTATCAGGAGATTTTGGAGCACTTCATTCTTCCATCTGCTTAAATCTTTATGGAGATTAATTCCTTTTTCAGCACGACCTGGCACTTGCTCACAGTGCCAAAACCACTGCTAAATGGTTTACTGACCGTGGGATTACTGTACTCTGCCAACTCTCCTGACCTGAACCCCAGAGAATCTGAGATATTGTGACGAGGAAGTTGAAAGTCACTAGAGCCAACACTGGATGAACTTAAGGCCACCATCCTGGGGCTCCATAACACCTCGGCAGCGCCACAGGCCGACTGCCTCCATAACACCTCGGCAGCGCCACAGGCCGACTGCCTCCAATAACACCTCGGCAGCGCCACAGGCCGACTGCCTCCAATAACACCTCGGCAGCGCCACAGGCCAACTGCCTCCAATAACACCTCGGCAGCGCCACAGGCCGACTGCCTCCAATAACACCTCGGCAGCGCCACAGGCCGACTGCCTCCATAACACCTCGGCAGCGCCACAGGCCGACTGCCTCCATAACACAGGCAGACTGCCTCCATAACACAGGCCGACTGCCTCCATAACACCTCGGCAGCGCCACAGGCCGACTGCCTCCAAAACACCTCAGTGCCAAGAGTCCAAGAGTATCTACTTTTAGAGTGGCGGGTGGTTTTGACCCCAGGTTAGTCTAACGGTTAAAGAAGGCCGACTGCCTCCATAACACCTCGGCAGCGCCACAGGCTGACTGCCTCCATAACACCTCGGCAGCGCCACAGGCTGACTGCCTCCATAACACCTCGGCAGTACCACAGGCTGACTGCCTCCATAACACCTCGGCAGTGCCACAGGCCGACTGCCTCCATAACACCTCGGCAGCGCCACAGGCCGACTGCCTCCATAACACCTCGGCAGCGACACAGGCTGACTGCCTCCATAACACCTCGGCAGCGACACAGGCTGACTGCCTCCATAACACCTCGGCAGCGCCACAGGCTGACTGCCTCCATAACACCTCGGCAGCGCCACAGGCCGACTGCCTCCATAACACCTCGGCAGTGCCACAGGCCGACTGCCTCCATAACACCTCGGCAGTGCCACAGGCCGACTGCCTCCAGGCCACGCCGTATTCAAGCATTCATTTCTACTAAAGGATTCCCGATCAAGTATTGAGCACATAACTGAACATTATTTGAAGGTTGACATTTAAATTAAAAACACTTTATTGGTTGGATGAAATATGCTAATTTTGGTGTTTTGGGCTATTGTTCAATAAATATCTACAAAATTTTAACCTTTATCTGACTGACAGTTTATCTCAAATAAGATAAGCTTTATTAATCATGCAAGGCATGGATAAAACACTCAAGAATTGTGCAAAAAATAAGAAATGAGCAAACATGTTAATGCAGGAAAATATAAAATTGCATGAACTGCAGTTTGTTTAATTGAAAATAGCTTCTATATAGCAAGCTACTTTTGACAGAATTTTGTAACTTAGCTTGCTACATTTGTATGGGTGGTAGCTTCTGTGTAGTGAAGCTGAATTTATTGTAGAGTAGCTTAGCTCACTACACAAATCAAGTAGCTTGCCCATCACTTACTTTATCTCAATATGCTAATTTTTTTAGAAGGACCTGTATTTACCCTCATGTTTTTGAGCCGAGCTGATTCATCCCTCAGACTTTTCAGACCAGTGTAGGTCTGAGTCCAAGAGTATCTACTTTTAGAGTGGCGGGTGGTTTTGACCCCAGGTTAGTCTAACAGTTAAAGAAGCTAGTTCAGCTGCAATGCCACATATCACTACAGTTTAGAGTAATATTGTGGTAACATTACTTTGAAACAACAGTAACACATCATGGGCGTAATAATCCAACACTGATGAAAACCATCAGCTCCACACATGGTTACACCAAATCTAACGTCTTCAGTCTACAGAAGACTGAGCGCCGCAGGCGGGAGATGTTCAGAACATGTGTAGCTAGCCGGAGCCAGTCTTACCTGCAAAAAGAGGTGGATAGTGGAGGTGGTGGCCGCGGACAGCCAGATGCTCCAGTCGTGGTGCTGCCAGATCACCAGCACCAGAGGGATGAGAAAGAACAGCAGCAAAACAGAAAAGACAACAAAAGGGATGAAGGGCTGCGGTGGTCTGTGCCACGCAGTGCGCAAGGGCTGCACCAACTGGTGGAGGTTGGTCAGGGCCAGGACCATCAGCAGGTACAGGTTCTGGAGGAGGATCTCCTGCAGACACAGAACAGTCACCGTCAGGCCCAGGCCCAGGCCCAGGCCCAGGCCCAGGCCCAGGCCCAGGCTCAAATTTTTGACCCTCAACATTTTCCTTTTCTCGTTCAGCCTCATGGAACACATGTTGCAGCAGGGGCAGAGCACAGAGCGATGCGGCTGGACAGTGCACTCACCAGTCTCTGCGTGGGGTCCGTGCAGCTGACCCCCCACAGCGTCGCCACGATCCAGAAGCATTTCAGATTAAAGACATATTTTAGGCACGGATCTGGAACCAGACAATTGGAACCATCAACTGTTATAGAATTATATACCCCATGAAGGAGGAAACTCAAAGGTCCTTTGTCTGATCAAAAGCGTAAGTTTATTGTTAACGCACAGTGCGGAGGGCCAGCACATCCACTCAAAAGCAGCATGTCCCAGCTCTGGGGGCCAGAGCCCCCAGCTTCCTGTATACAAAACACACACCAAAGATAGTCACGCCCACAACGGAGCGGAGGGGGCCACCGGTGAGGAGGCGCACAGGAAGCGCCGGCGCCATCCCCTGTGGTGGCAGTGGCATGGGGTGTGAACAGACAGACAATGGTGGAAGTGCAGGTCATACAGATGCAAGACGGAAAGACACAGGGGTGTGACAGACAGCAGGGACCTTCACAAAGCTCAGCATGGCGTCAGAAGGTTGTCTGCATTGATAAAAGGCCTTTGACGTCCGTGTATTTGCTGCGGCTGGTTTATGTAATTACTCCAAAAACTGTCACCACACTCCCCTCTTCTGATAATTCAAAACCATTTTTGCATTAATCAGTTAAATACCAGAGGCATCGTAATCACACCACCTTCAAGCTTGAAACACTTAAATTATTGCTGTCCAAAGTGGACAGGAAAAGACACATGCTTGTCAATAAAAGAAAGAGCACATTATAATAACACAATGGATCCGGACAGCGATAAGAGAAGGCAATATTAACATAATAAACACGGTCAGCACGGAAAGTAGTGTCAGTGTGGCCAGCATAACAGTCCAAGGGCCCATGCCGGTCTACGTTCGGTAGTCTTTTCCGCGGGAATACTCACGAGCAGTGCCGTCTCGCAGTCAGTGGCACCGCTCCCTATGAGCGTGTGTGGAGCGTTAGTGGTCATGGCGATGTTTGGTCTTGGAGCGGCAAGACTCTAATTGCGTTGAAGCCTTGGCTTCAGCACTCGGTTGGGCAGAGTGCTCGGGGTTTGGGGTGTGGCGACCATGGCTTGAGCACGCTCCAGATCGGCCAGGCCCAAAGCTCGTTTGATGGGAGACCTCATGACAGCACGCTTCACCATGTGCCTCATCAGGAACTGTAGAGCAGCCCTCATCTCCACCTCCTCCGGACACACGGGAGACGAGACACCAGGGGGCACTCCAGCAGAGCTCCAATCTGCATTATGGCCAGAGGGAGCAGGCTCTGGAGAAATCTTTGGAATGAGCAGCAGCTCTGCATACTTGCTGCGGCTGAGCAGAGCGCTCAGGGCCTTCATGGCTCCCAGGCCTTGGGGTCCGGGGGCTGGGGAGTTGGGCAAAGGGGGGTCGCCTCGGGAACGCTGGGAATCTCTGGGTGTTGTTGTTGGCCTGCTTCACCGATGGTGGTCGCACGCCGGCAGACCTATTCAGCGTAGGGAGCCGCGGATGGGCCTGGTCCGTCCGCGCCCTCGGTGTCCTTGTCTATGGCCCTCAGTGGCAGCACCGCACGACAGTGGTTGGCGTGGATCCAAGTTGTCCTCTCCGCGACCTTAACGGCAGTGTCCGTCACCAGGAGGGCGAGGAATGGACCGAGCCAGCGCTTGGACCGCCAATGTTGTCGTCTCGTTTCCTTCACCAGGACTCAGTCGCCTGGCTTGATCCTGTGCAGAGCCGCCTGCGCAGCCTGTGGCAGGGCGCTCCTGACCTGGGCAGAAATAGAGGACAAAAGTGCATTAATTACCTTACAATAGGACAGCATGTCGTCATCACACAAAGAGGTGCTTGGCAGATCTCTGTTCGGGGGTCCCGCGCCCAACGTGGGGCTAGCGGCAGAGCTTTGAGTGCCATTCTCTCGCTCGCACGTGCCTCCGGACCAGGGGGCGTAACTGCAGTGTTTACGTATATCAATGCCCAGAAATTCACCCACTTCCTCAATGACTTTTGCTACAAAGTGACTCACCACCGCGTTGCTCGTGGCGTGTATGCCTGCAAATACTTCAGTCCATTTGGACCAGAGATCCGCCAGACCCAGACAGTATTACTTACCTTGGCATGGTGTGAGTTCAACAAAGTCCCTTTGGACATGTTGAAATGGGCGCAGGGGCGGAGGATGAGCAGCCTGTTGGATACTTTTGGGACTTACCTGGGTTGTGCGCGGGGCATATAGCGCATGTTTGGCTGAATCTCTGTGCAAATGCCGTAAACCCCTTTGTATACCAATTTTGTGTGATTAAATCACACATCATCCCTCCTTTTGAGGCATGGTCTCGACCATGTGCTAAAATTGCAAACTGTCTGAAGAAATGCCGTGGTAGGCACGGTTTGCTGTCTGGTCCCAGCCACACACACCATGCCGTCGTTGAGCCCCATTCCCCTCTCACAGCAGCGTCTCTGCTGGAGTAGAAAATATCAACGTCTTGAGTGAGGTAGTGTGTGTGTGTGTGTAGAGGTGCGTATGCCGCTGCCTTGTCCGCGCGCCGATTCCCTGCAGAGATGGGATCAGTGGCATTAGTGTGGGCCTGGCATTTGCATACAGCGATCTCTAAGGGCAACATTACAGCTTTCAGCAGACGTTCAACCTGTGTGGAATTAAGAATTGGTTTACCATCAGATTTCATAAAATTGCGGTGTTTCCACAGTGCTTCCCAGTCGTGCACCACAGAGAAACCATAGCGCGTATCACATAATATGTTAACAGTTTTGCCCGCTGCCAGCTCACACGCCCCGGTGGGCGCGACCAGCTCAGCGGTTTGTGCTGAGTGGTAGTGGGGCAAACTACCAGAGTCTATAGTATCAAAATCAGAACACACAGCATAGCCTACTCGGTTCTTCCCAGTGTTGTCACGTGACGCCGCTCCGTCTGTATAAAAAAAATCAAGTCAGGATTAGTCAGAGGCACCTCTTTCAGGTCTGGCCTGGGAGTGCATCTCTGCTCTATTGTGGCGATACAGCAGCGTTCCTCCCCTTCCTCTGGCGTGGGCAGCAGCGAGGAGGAGTTCAGCTGTGTGCATTCCTTCACCGTAGTTCAAAGAGCACCGTGTTGTACCCCAGCCAACGAGCCGCAGAAAGGCGAGAGGCCCTCTGCTCTAACAGGATCAGGGAAACAGCATGGGGCACAAGCAAAGTTAGTTCAGTGTATCCCACAAGGTCACGTGATGCTAGGGCCGCTTTCTCAGCGGCAGCCACAGCCCGCAGGCAGCGAGGCAACCCTGCTGCCACGGGATCGAGTTTTGCTGAGAAGTAAGCAGTGGGTCTCAGTGGCCCTCCGTGAGACTGCAAAAGTACCGACTGTTCCGTTCATCTCCAGTTGCTTTCTCCCGGATCGTCCTCAATTCATATTGTGGGCTTTGGTGCCAAGGTGGAGGCTCATTTCCTCCTGATCCATACTACTGTCATCCCTGAAGCAGGGGTAGTTTATCTCTCATCTGAAAAAGAAATATTAGAACACAAAAAACACAAAAAAATGCCCACTTTCGCTTGTCAATCTTTTTCCAATTGGGCAAAACATAACTGCATTGACAGACGGTGTTTGGCATCAGGGCGGAGGCAAGTTGTCCTTCAACCAACGACAGCTCACTGCGGTTGGACTGTGTCGCTGTCAGGACAAACAGCAGAGGCAGGAACTCCCAATATCTTCAGCGAGGTATTTCATCTCCGAGTACTTTCAGCAGAGTACTTTTCTCAGAGTACTCATCCCAGAGTACTCTCACTTTTACACCTGTTCAATAAAGCTTGTTATCTTTGAATCTCTAGTACTTACACCGTATGCTGTTGACAAAAAATAATTATTCCATGATCACATTAAAACATTACAGACACATTTGTTATTCCATGATTCCGTTCAGCACTCCTCATTTCACACATCACACTCATATCACAGTCATATCACAGTCACATCACAGTCACATCACAGTCACATCACAGGCCGATTTCCCACGTTAGTATTTTGGTCCAGTTTGTTAAGGTCAGCGTAGTGTACTTTGACATGACACACAAACATATAACATACACAAAACATATAACACACAAACATGTAACACACACAAACACATAGAAAACACAGAAGGCCTGTAATTTTAACTTTGTTATATTTTCCATGTCCAATTACAATTGTCTCATGAGCTATTCCTATTGTTGCAACTTCCAGAGCCTGCAGAACATGCAAAGCTTTTTAAGAGATTTTTCCTAAAAAAAAAGAAATCCATTTCCAACTTTAGTGTTTACCACGTGGTCTATACTTCGGGCTTATCACAGATTGTGTCCCCTATATCTCTAATGAGCTCTTGTCACCTAAAAAAAATGTTTATTTTCCTTATTTTTTTTTCTTTTTCAATAAAGCCAGGTCGGATTCATTAAAAATGTAAATTAGTCTCAAACTTTAATACTTCACCTTTGTTTCACGATAAAATGTTTTTGTTGCTCATTAAGTAGCACAGATAGTGGTGCCTATCTCAATAAACGTACTCCGTTAGCCTATCTTCCCTACACTGCATGAATTTTCAAACTCCAAGTTATTGTCTGGGAACGACCGGAGAGAGCAGCTTAGGTCGTTCGCGTGGTTGACCTCCAAGTTTTGTGCGGGCGTCACTCTATCCACTTGTTGTGGCTAATAGCTTAGCAATCTCAGGGTTTGGTGTCAATTTCCAGTGGTAGTTAACTTTTGGGACCGGTGCCTCCTTTTATTTATCTATTTTTAATTGAGTCTGCACATAAGGTCTCGGCCTAGTAGATTAACCGGGCACAATGGGGAATATAGAAAAGAATGTTTAAGCTGGTTGCCCTGAGAATCAAAACACGTTAGCGGTGACGTAAATTGCTCTTTAGTCGTCTCTCCCGACGCTGCTAATGGGAATGTGAAGCGGCCACTCATTTTAGGGGAGACAGAAAGGCTGTCACTTTTAGCACAGAATTTGTTGCCCCGGAGTCATCCAGAATTTTAACTTGTACACCACAGGTTGTTAGCGTATATTACGGGCATGAATTATCTCTAAAAAGTGCCAATTGCAATTTGTTGTTGTTCAACTTACATGAGCGGTCGCTTTGGTGACGAATGTGAACCCAGGTTTGGTCAGTCGCTCGTGTTTCCTCCGTGCCCGCCTCTGCCGTCCTCTGGCCCCGTGTGAGCTTGAGCGTTCCTCTGCCTTTAACGCCTCCTCCGGTAACAGTCCTTCGACACATGTCGAGCACACAGTCTTTCCGCCGGGCTGTGGAAGTTTCTCAAAGTCCGCAGGAGGCCCAGGTAGCCCAAAGCGTTAGCATGTGGTCCATGAGGGTTGGTGAATGACCCAAACGTGCCGGTCACAATGGCTTCTTCTGTTTGCGGTGCGGGAACAACTTTCAAGCGGGTTTCCGCGGGTGCGTTTGGTATATCACGCTGCCCCCTCCGTGGAGAACAGTCACGGGATTTGGAGCAGTTTGTCTCTGGCCTCCAAGGCAGTTGTCGGTGTCTCACATATTTGCTTCCCCCGTTTCTTCTTCTGTGGTTTCCTGAGCGTGTGTCTGTTTCCGCCTCTTCTTCTTCTGCGGTTTGGGCCCACTTCTCGCGGGGTCTCAGCTGGTGCGAGCGCCGCCTGTGGTTGGGGCGTGGGGCTGGTGCTTTGAGGCAGAGGACAGAGCGCGGAGGAAAGGCGCCGACAGACCTGGATAAGGGAGAGGGAAAAGAGACAACAGTAGTCTGCTCATTTTTTAAAAACCCAACGCCTTGTTTGGGTGCACACTTATTGTTAGTAGGGGTAGGGTGGGGGTGTGGGGGATGTGTGTGTCCGCCTCTGTTCTCCGCTTCGGTGAAGGGCGGAGGAGCTATTGTTTTTACATATTTCTTTCTCTAACCTCTTTTGCCGTGATATTCTTAAAACCAAGTATATTTTTTTCTTCCCTTCTTCTTCTAAATTATCACGCAAGATGCGTAATGGCCTGCACCATAGGCAAGCACTCCATAGCTTGCGTCTTCTAGATTGTTCGTACGAGAAAATGGGTAAAAAACAATGGGCCTAACCCGCTTAGTCTCTCCCTGCTCCTACCCACTTTGGGGCGCTCCATTCCCCCCTCGCTGGTTCAACCAGCGAGCGCGCGTTCTTGAAATGGAGCGGTTCTGGCTGAAGACACTTGGAGAAATTTTCAGGGTCGCCTACAGGACGATACTAACGCGCAGCCGCTAGTTTTCAATCTAGAACAAAAAGCCCCCCAAAAAATCCCGCACACAGACTATGCTGTGGCAATGAATGAAATACCCCAAAAATACATAAATAAACAAATCCCCGTGTACACTTAAGTGCTGCCCTGGGCTCGTTACGCAGATGAAAAGACAAGACTCACCAGATTAGGTTCTTTTTGGTCTTGTGTGGCAAAAGGATTCCTTCCGTGCGCGGACGAGCGCGCTCTCCTTTGTCTCCAAAAAGGAACAGAGGCTGGTGATCCAGGTCGGCCAAACAAAGCCGCTCGTCCCGCCGAAAGTATCCCATGCCAAGACATGCCAGCAACGCCAAATTGTTATAGAATTATATACCCCATGAAGGAGGAAACTCAAAGGTCCTTTGTCTGATCAAAAGCGTAAGTTTATTGTTAACGCACAGTGCGGAGAGCCAGCACATCCACTCAAAAGCAGCATGTCCCAGCTCTGGGGGCCAGAGCCCCCAGCTTCCTGTATACAAAACACACACCAAAGATAGTCACGCCCACAACGGAGCGGAGGGGGCCACCGGTGAGGAGGCGCACAGGAAGCGCCGGCGCCATCCCCTGTGGTGGCAGTGGCATGGGGTGTGAACAGACAGACAATGGTGGAAGTGCAGGTCATACAGATGCAAGACGGAAAGACACAGGGGTGTGACAGACAGCAGGGACCTTCACAAAGCTCAGCATGGCGTCAGAAGGTTGTCTGCATTGGTAAAAGGCCTTTGACGTCCGTGTATTTGCTGCGGCTGGTTTTAATGTAATTACTCCAAAAACTGTCACCACACAACCAAGTCAGCCACACCAGAGCCCCAACACCATCACCAAGTGTACCATCTGTACGTTCTAGCGCATGTTTACATCTGTGCACGCGAGACTGAGGCACATTCTAGACAAATAAAAATGAAGCACATTACCGACAAACAAGTTTGAGAAAACATGGACCATCAATGCCACGACTGTGAAGACTGCAACCATCGCCAACTCCATCAGAAAAGACTCACAGCTGGAGACCAGGAGCTCGGCCAAGACGTCACCGAGCCCAGACCAGCTCCACCCCCCCACCTGAGGAGACAAGAGGCTGAGGACCTTAACCCCTCCCACCTGAGGCCCTCTCCTGCAGCGCCCCCTACCTGTAGGCTGTAGAGATGGATCGGAGCTTTGACCAAAATCCGGAGAATAAAGTAACGTCTCACGGCCGTCAGGTCTAGTTCAACATCGAACCTGAACAGAGGAGACAGGCCTAAAGGGGCGTTCACACCGGACTTAACTTCGGCGTCAAAAGCGTCAGGTTTCCATTGAAAGTGAATGGTGAAGCGCGTCAGGTGAAGCCGAGAGCCCCGGCGTCACTTGACGCGCGTCAAAAGCTTCAAGAGTCGCGCGTACTACGCGCTCACTTGAAGCTTTTGACGCGCGAAACGCTCGCGTATCACAACAATCCCTTTGACGCCGAAGCTGAGCAAAGCTGAGCTTTTGAAGCTTTGACGCGGGCTTCAACCAATCAGGAGACGAGGAGCAGCAGCAGCAGAGGGTCCGTCTCTGTCATGGAGAGAAGTCATGTATCTGCGGCTGCTGTTTTATTGTCATTATTGTTATTAGTAATATTATTTGTATGAGTAGTAACATTCTGAGTAACAAAAATCATTGTACACATGCTGTGTAGTAAACGTAGTTTATTTAATATAAGAACAGGCTGACGATGAGTCTGGCTCAGAGCAAGGCAGCTCCGGGCGGGCGAGAGCCAGGGAGAGGCAGGGAGAGGCGGGGAGAGGCAGGGAGAGGCGAGGGAGAGGCGAGCGAGAGGCAGGGAGAGGCGAGAGCCGGGGTTTGAGAACTCAGACTGGGCGAGTGACATGCGGAAGTACCGCTGAAAGCGAAACTCCTCCGTACGCAGCTCCTGGAGTAAATGACGGAACTCTGCAAACACTGCAGCCTCTCAAGTCTGTGGTGAACCCAGAACATGTTTTGTTGAAGTCCTACAACAACGTTATTTTGCTTTATATAACAAATAAAGGCTCGCTGCTCATTGAAAAATACACCGCTGTCCTGACTACAGACAACAGAGAAGCTCCTCCCACCGGCGTCAGGCGCGTCACTCGCGTCAAAAGCTTCAAGCCCCAAAATGACAAAACTATCCCGGCGTCAGTTGAAGCGCGTCAAAAGCTTTTTGAAGCTTTTGGTCTGAACGCGCCTTTAGAGGAAGAGGAGGAGGAAGAGGAGGAGACCAGACCTAGAGGAGGAGACCAGACCTAGCGGAGGAAGAGGAGGAGACCAGACCTAGAGGAGGAAGAGGAGGAGACCAGACCTAGCGGAGGAAGAGGAGACCAGACCTAGAGGAGGAAGAGGAGGAGACCAGACCTAGCGGAGGAAGAGGAGGAGACCAGACCTAGCGGAGGAAGAGGAGGAGACCAGACCTAGCGGAGGAAGAGGAGGAGACCAGACCTAGAGGAGGAAGAGGAGACCAGACCTAGAGGAGGAAGAGGAGGAGACCAGACCTAGAGGAGGAAGAGGAGGAGACCAGACCTAGCGGAGGAAGAGGAGGAGACCAGACCTAGAGGAGGAAGAGGAGGAGACCAGACCTAGCGGAGGAAGAGGAGGAGACCAGACCTAGAGGAGGAAGAGGAGACCAGACCTAGAGGAGGAAGAGGAGACCAGACCTAGCGGAGGAAGAGGAGATGACCAGACCTAGCGGAGGAAGAGGAGATGACCAGACCTAGAGGAGGAAGAGGAGACCAGACCTAGCGGAGGAAGAGGAGGAGACCAGACCTAGCGGAGGAAGAGGAGGAGACCAGACCTAGCGGAGGAAGAGGAGACCAGACCTAGCGGAGGAAGAGGAGGAGACCAGACCTAGAGGAGGAAGAGGAGGAGACCAGACCTAGCGGAGGAAGAGGAGACCAGACCTAGAGGAGGAAGAGGAGGAGACCAGACCTAGCGGAGGAAGAGGAGGAGACCAGACCTAGCGGAGGAAGAGGAGGAGACCAGACCTAGCGGAGGAAGAGGAGGAGACCAGACCTAGCGGAGGAAGAGGAGGAGACCAGACCTAGAGGAGGAAGAGGAGACCAGACCTAGAGGAGGAAGAGGAGACCAGACCTAGCGGAGGAAGAGGAGGAGACCAGACCTAGAGGAGGAAGAGGAGACCAGACCTAGCGGAGGAAGAGGAGACCAGACCTAGAGGAGGAAGAGGAGGAGACCAGACCTAGCGGAGGAAGAGGAGACCAGACCTAGAGGAGGAAGAGGAGGAGACCAGACCTAGCGGAGGAAGAGGAGGAGACCAGACCTAGCGGAGGAAGAGGAGGAGACCAGACCTAGAGGAGGAAGAGGAGGAGACCAGACCTAGAGGAGGAAGAGGAGACCAGACCTAGCGGAGGAAGAGGAGACCAGACCTAGAGGAGGAAGAGGAAGAAGAGACCAGACCTAGCGGAGGAAGAGGAAGAAGAGACCAGACCTAGAGGAGGAAGAGGAGGAGACCAGACCTAGCGGAGGAAGAGGAGGAGACCAGACCTAGCGGAGGAAGAGGAGGAGACCAGACCTAGAGGAGGAAGAGGAGGAGACCAGACCTAGCGGAGGAAGAGGAAAAAGAGACCAGACCTAGAGGAGGAAGAGGAGGAGACCAGACCTAGAGGAGGAAGAGGAAGAAGAGACCAGACCTAGAGGAGGAAGAGGAGGAGACCAGACCTAGCAGAGGAAGAGGAGGAGACCAGACCTAGCGGAGGAAGAGGAAAAAGAGACCAGACCTAGCGGAGGAAGAGGAAAAAGAGACCAGACCTAGAGGAGGAAGAGGAGGAGACCAGACCTAAAGGAGGAAGAGGAGGAGACCAGACCTAGCGGAGGAAGAGGAGGAGACCAGACCTAGAGGAGGAAGAGGAGGAGACCAGACCTAGAGGAGGAAGAGGAGGAGACCAGACCTAGAGGAGGAAGAGGAGGAGACCAGACCTAGAGGAGGAAGAGGAGGAGACCAGACCTAGAGGAGGAAGAGGAGGAGACCAGACCTAGAGGAGGAAGAGGAGGAGACCAGACCTAGAGGAGGAAGAGGAGGAGACCAGACCTAGCGGATGAAGAGGAAGAAGAGACCAGACCTAGAGGAGGAAGAGGAGAAGACCAGACCTAGCGGAGGAAGAGGAGGAGACCAGACCTAGCGGAGGAAGAGGAGGAGACCAGACCTAGCGGAGGAAGAGGAGGAGACCAGACCTAGCGGAGGAAGAGGAGGAAGAGACCAGACCTAGCGGAGGAAGAGGAAGAAGAGACCAGACCTAGAGGAGGAAGAGGAGGAAGAGACCAGACCTAGAGGAGGAAGAGGAGGAGACCAGACCTAGAGGAGGAAGAGGAGGAGACCAGACCTAGAGGAGGAAGAGGAGGAGACCAGACCTAGAGGAGGAAGAGGAGGAGACCAGACCTAGAGGAGGAAGAGGAGGAGACCAGACCTAGCGGAGGAAGAGGAGGAAGAGGAGGAGACCAGACCTAGCGGAGGAAGAGGAGGAGACCAGACCTAGCGGAGGAAGAGGAGGAGACCAGGCCTTAAGTGGAGGAAGAGGAGATCAGGCCTTAAGTGGAGGAAGAGGAGATCAGGCCTTGAGTGGAGGAAGAGGAGATCAGGCCTCAGGAGAATTAAAACATGTATAAATCCTTGTCTCACCATTTAGTTTGGCACACCATGAATTTTATCTGGTTCCACATGATCAGGACCAGGAGGAGGACCAGCAGGAGGAGGACCAGCTGAGGGAGAAGAGGAACCCCCAGGAACCGGAGGAACACAGGAAGCACCATCCCCAGCTGAACCCAGGAGGCCCACGCCTCCACCACAACCAGGTGACAGAAGGTGAGGCCCAGGAGGAGCTGCAGCATGCCCAGGCGCACCCACACCCAGCCCAGGCCCGAGACCTGGTGGAAGACCAAGCTTTGGAGGAGGTCCCAGCAGCCTTGGAGGAGGTCCCAGCAGCCTTGGAGGAGGTCCCAGCAGCCTTGGAGGAGGTCCCAGCAGCCTTGGAGGAGGTCCCAGCAGCCAGGGAGGAGGTCCCAGCCAGGGAGGAGGTCCCAGCCAGGGAGGAGGTCCCAGCCAGGGAGGAGGTCCCAGCCAGAGACCATGTAGTAATTCAGGATCACGGAGACCAAGGCTGTGGCCAAACCCCCGGCCAGCAGGAGGAGCTCCACTACTGCCACCGCAGAGAACATGTGGCAGAAGCTTAAAACTACCACTGTGAAGGAGACCACAATTAGGACCAGGGCTTAGGGGGGGAGGAGGAGACTAGGGTTTAGAGAAGAGGAGGAGGAGGGGGAGGAGGAGACTAGGGTTTAGAGAGGAGGTGGTCTTGGTCCTCTTGGTTCCAGAAGCTGTCTGAGGAGTGTATGTTTTTGGACCAGTCTAGCTCAGCCGCTGTGGACTGTAGAATGCACTCATTAAATGGAGCTAACTCACAAGTGTTTTCACATTTTCCCAGCGGCCATTTTGAAACTACCAATCGACTGCGAATATGATGTCACATTAGTTTGAACAGTGGAGATCACTTTTACTTTACTCTTACTCACAAAAGTAATCCGATGACATTAACCACAAGACACTTCACCCACTTTGAAGAAACCAGGCGCACAGACGTAAAAAAGCCCTCAGGGCGCAAAACCAAGAACGCCCCAGGACATGGAAGCACGTTTTACCCATGGATTGATATAGTCTGGATAGAGTATTCTTAGTTTATAGCTGTAAGCTAGCTGATGGGACAGCAGGGGGCGCTGTGGTACTGCAGACAAAATTCACTTTACCCAGAACAAAGTCCCATAGAACTCAGGGTAAACTAAAACAGACCTCAGCTGACACACACACACCCACTGACACGACACACACCCACTGACACGACACGCACCCACTGACACGACACACACTGACGGACGACACACACTGACGGACGACACAAACTGACACACACCCACTGACACGACACACACTGACGGACGACACAAACTGACACACCCACTGACACGACACACACTGACGGACGACACAAACTGACACACACCCACTGACACGACACACACCCACTGACACGACACACACCCACTGACACGACACACACCCACTGACACGACACACACCCACTGACACGACACGCACCCACTGACACGACACGCACCCACTGACACGACACACACCCACTGACACGACACACACTGACGGACGACACAAACTGACACACACCCTGCAGAGTCAATGAAGAGCCCAGGACCAAATTCAAATGTAGTACCACCAAAAGGTCGCGAGGGCGCCACACAGACGTTTCTAATTTGCACTAAAATGTCTAAAAAATGCCAGGATCTGTAGCGAGCACTATAATAAAACATGCAATTTATGAGTTATGAAAGCTGATTTGGCGTTTAGTCGCTCTTTAACTATCAAACTCTACGCTAAAGAATCTGAGCGGAATTTTCCGGAACTATGTCATAAAGGTGCACTTTATTAATCCTCTGCATTTGACCCTGATGCCGGTAAGGCCGTCTGTAGCAGTGGTCGCCATAGTAACAGCGCACAGGAACCCATCTCCAGATGTTTTTAGCAGTGACGTGTGGTCAGATGAGGCAGGTGAGGCCTGGCCTCTCCTACGATCATGGGATTCATGTAACTTTGCCTTATTTCATTCATTTTTACCTTGAAATCGCAGATGTTCGTCATATTTTCTCATTTGACAGAGCGGTGCGCTGGGAGCATAGAGTATGTATTAACGGACAGAGTCACGCCTATCTCCGCCGTTCTAACTAATGGGCCAAAAATTGTGCTCTACTGGAGCAATCCAAAATGGCCGCGAGTGGTCCCGCCCACAAGAAAATTGTGAAAAAACGCATCTGCGCATGCGTCAGCCGGAGCAGCTCCATTCATTTGAACGAGAGACTTCAAAAATTCACAGCGACTAAACTAGACTGGTCCAAACACCCCCTCAGCAGTGACACACATGTGGAACGGAGCTTTGGGCCAAGAGACAACTTTTGGTCCATCCTGTAAAGACGTTTGAGAAGTCTGCTAACGCTATATGTTAGCATTGGCTAATTCTTCTGGGTCCACCCCCACAGGCCCGGGGTGGTACTGCAGCATGTCAGCGCACGTCATTTTGGACACTTTAGCTGGGACCCGCCCACACTGACTGGGAGACCTAAATGCCTGTAGTTCAGAGGCAGGAGCCCGTGCGCGGCTATCGAACTGTTTTCTGTTTATCACGGTTTACACAGTTCAAACATATTTCCTTTACAATCAAGTAAGTTTTATTTATCAACATGTTACAGCTGAGAGGATGGGTCATAAATTGTGTTTTTGATACAAATATGGGTGTTAATCGCGCTCAAACCACGGCTTGTAACATCACCAAATGAGGCCAGCCTCAGGGGGCGCATGTGAGCCCAGAATTCGGCTGCATCCAATTTCATCTGAAAGCTCCTTGTTCTTCCTCTGCTAAGGGCAGCTACAGGTTTGGCTAAAGTACATGTAACACATTGTAAGATTATTTAAAATTCACTTAGGGTAATTTTATGCTTCCAATGATGATAGGAATTATAAAGGGAGAGGTGAAGGGTAAGAAGGTTGATATTAGAAATTGGATGCACCCGAGACTGATGCAGCGAAACAGGAGTTTATGGAGGAGACACCAGTTTTGTTTTACTTTTTGTTTTACTTTTTAAAAATGTTTGATTGGACCGTGAAGTCAGTGCCTCACCAATCACCAACCTCACGCCACTGGTTTTTAGTGGTAGGGGTCTGGAATACCCAGAGGAAACTTACGCAAGTTTGGGGAGAACATGCAAACTCCACTCAGGCCCCGTCTACACGTAGCAGGGTATCTCACAAACCGAAGATATTTTCCTACGATCTGGCCTATCATCCACACAAACCCGGAGTTTTCTGTCGATAAAAACGAAGGTTTCTGAAAACTCCGGCCAAAGTGAAGATTTGGGAATTCTCCGGTTATGCGTTTGAGTGTGGACATAAATAACCGGAGTATTCGGCTGTACGTCACTACCAGCGTGCTGCTCTGACGTCACACGCGCGACCTGTGTTTACATCAGAAACAACATGGAGGCCATCAAAACCGCTTTTGTTTTAACGATTGTTCAGGCACTTTTTGCTTGCTTGTTTTTACAAGCTCAAATACTGCTTCATGTTGAAGAGCACAGACGAAGGAGCACTTTAAGGTCGGCTATTTTCCGCCAAATAACCATCCCTCGTCCAAGACATGTTCCTCGTCAAAGACGGCAACGGCAATTTTGGGTCAGACCGGGACGCACTGCCAGCTGGTGGGAGAACTTTGAGATGGAAGTCGTCCTCCCGGAGGAAGGTAGGTTTGTAGGTTTGAAATGTAATTGACAACGCATGTATGCGGTTAGGTGTGGATGCCGTTTTTTAAAAAACCGAGGCTGTGTGGACAGAAGTTTTTTTTTAGGCGGAGGGCGGATTTATAAATGCCCTGCTACGTGTAGACAGGGCCTCAGAAAGACCCTGTTCCGACCGGGATTCGAACCCAGGACCTTCTTGCAGAGAAGCAAAAGTGCTAACTACTCAGCCACCGTACCGCCTGCTCACATTAGACATAACATATCTGAACGAGTTTATCAATCCGTTTCTTGTGCTAAGAAGTTTAGGGGTTTAGCTAGCCCATCTTAGTGCTCACCCCTGTAACGGACTAGAGCCCCTGCTCCGGACCCGCACTCACCCACAGTCTTCATCAGGAACAGTCCGCAGCGACACCCTTGGGTGGCGTCCTCCGCCGCACTGACGCTCATCACGGCTTCTATCACGAGCACGAGCAGCAGCCGCGCGAGCGCAAACAGACGGTGGAAGAGCGCCACGCTCATCCACCGGTACCGCTTCAGGATCAGGCCCAGTACGAGCTCGGACCCAAACAGTCTCCCTCCCGCACCGAAGCCCGCCATCTCCGCGTCAAGCCTCTGCCGCAAACTCTAACCCTGACTGACTGAATTTGGTGAACACGTGTTTCTCCTGCAGCAGACCGACACACACATCAGAGACACACATCAGAGACACACATCAGAGACAGGAGTGACACACACAGGTGATAACACTCTGCTCATCAAGTGCACCTGCACACACACACACCTGCGCGCACACACACCTGCGCGCACACACACCTACACACACACACACCTGCGCGCACACACACCTACACACACACACACCTGCGCGCACACACACCTACACACACACACACCTGCGCGCACACACACCTACACACACACACACCTGCGCGCACACCTGCGAGTACACACACTCACCTGCGAGTACACACACTCACCTGCAGGTACATACACACACTCACCCGCGAGTACACACACTCACCTGCGAGTACACACACTCACCTGCGAGTACACACACTCACCTGCAGGTACATACACACACTCACCTGCGAGTACACACACTCACCTGCAGGTACATACATACACTCACCTGCGAGTACACACACTCACCTGCGAGTACACACACTCACCTGCAGGTACATACACACACTCACCTGCGAGTACACACACTCACCTGCAGGTACATACACACACTCACCTGCGAGTACACACACTCACCTGCAGGTACATACACACACACACCTGCGAGTACACACACTCACCTGCGAGTACACACACTCACCTGCGAGTACACACACTCACCTGCGAGTACACACACTCACCTGCAGGTACATACATACACTCACCTGCGAGTACACACACTCACCTGCGAGTACATACACACACTCACCTGCAGGTACATACACACACTCACCTGCGAGTACACACACTCACCTGCAGGTACATACATACACTCACCTGCGAGTACACACACTCACCTGCGAGTACACACACTCACCTGCAGGTACATACACACACTCACCTGCGAGTACACACACTCACCTGCGAGTACACACACTCACCTGCAGGTACATACACACACTCACCTGCGAGTACACACACTCACCTGCAGGTACATACACACACCTGCGAGTACACACACTCACCTGCAGGTACATACACACACTCACCTGCGAGTACACACACTCACCTGCGAGTACACACACTCACCTGCGAGTACACACACTCACCTGCGAGTACACACACTCACCTGCAGGTACACACACTCACCTGCGAGTACACACACTCACCTGCGAGTACACACACTCACCTGTGCACGCGCGCTCACATGTAAAGTGTATAGAAGTTAAAGAACAGAAAGTCGTGTTTAGCAATAAAAGAATGTCTCTCTGGTCTCTCTCTGGTCTATCTCTGGTCTCTCTCTGGTCTCTCTCTCTGGTCTCTCTCTCTGGTCTCTCTCTCTCTGGTCTCTCTCTCTGGTCTCTCTCTGGTCTCTCTCTCTGGTCTCTCTCTGGTCTCTCTCTCTGGTCTCTCTCTCTGGTCTCTCTCTCTGGTCTCTCTCTCTGGTCTCTCTCTGGTCTCTCTCTCTGGTCTCTCTCTGGTCTCTCTCTCTGGTCTCTCTCTGGTCTCTCTCTCTGGTCTCTCTCTGGTCTCTCTCTGGTCTCTCTCTCTGGTCTCTCTCTGGTCTATCTCTGGTCTATCTCTGGTCTATCTCTGGTCTCTCTCTGGTCTCTCTCTCTGGTCTCTCTCTGGTCTCTCTCTCTGGTCTCTCTCTGGTCTCGCTCTCTGGTCTCTCTCTGGTCTCTCTCTCTGGTCTCTCTCTCTGGTCTCTCTCTCTGGTCTCTCTCTCTCTGGTCTCTCTCTGGTCTCTCTCTCTGGTCTCTCTCTCTGGTCTCTCTCTCTGGTCTCTCTCTCTGGTCTCTCTCTCTGGTCTCTCTCTCTGGTCTCTCTCTCTGGTCTCCTCCATGATAAAAAGCCTACAAAGGTCCAAACAACACGCTGATCTTTCCCACGAAGCTGTAACAGTGAAAAGGTCTTGTGTCTTTCCGTTCTGTGATGTCACACACTGAGAGACATAAACACTGCAAGACAGGGGCCTCGGTTACATGGTCCCCATGGGTGCTCTTCTGATCCCTGCTCCATCTGGTATACGAGCTCCTGCTGGTCCGAGGCTCAGGGTCCCGCTCCTCTGCAGGAAGTGCTTTATGGGTTTATATAAATGAGAGGTGGGCTGTCCGCTTCTAATCCTGCAGCAGAGACTGAGGGATTAGAGACCAGTGGGAGACCAGAGAGAGACCAGAGACAGACCAGAGAGAGACCTGAGGGAGACCAGAGACAGACCAGAGAGAGACCTGAGGGAGACCAGAGACAGACCAGAGAGAGACCTGAGGGAGACCAGAGACAGACCAGAGGGAGACGAGAGAGAGACGAGAGAGAGCAAAGGGAGAGCAGAGAGAGACCAGGGAGAGACCAGAGAGACCAAGTTTAGACCAGAAACCCAGGTGAGGGGGGGAGAGAGGGTAATGGTAATGACAGCAGACTGAAAGTGCACTATTGTACTTCTGAAGAGGTTTAATTGACCAAGAACCTCTCTCTGGTCTCTCTCTGGTCTCTTTCTCTCTGGTCTCTTTCTCTCTGGTCTCTCTCTCTGGTCTCTCTCTGGTCTCTCTCTGGTCTTTCTCTGGTCTTTCTCTGGTCTCTCTCTGGTCTCTCTCTGGTCTCTCTCTCTGGTCTCTCTCTCTGGTCTCTCTCTCTGGTCTCTCTCTCTGGTCTCTCTCTCTGGTCTCTCTCTCTGGTCTCTCTCTGGTCTCTCTCTGGTCTCTCTCTGGTCTCTCTCTGGTCTCTCTCTGGTCTCTCTCTGGTCTCTTTCTCTCTGGTCTCTTTCTCTCTGGTCTCTCTCTCTGGTCTCTCTCTGGTCTCTCTCTGGTCTCTCTCTGGTCTCTCTCTGGTCTCTCTCTGGTCTCTCTCTGGTCTCTCTCTGGTCTCTCTCTGGTCTCTCTCTGGTCTCTGTGTGGGTTTGATGGTGAGTTGTTGTGACAGTCCTCACTGCTCGTTAAGACTGTACTGTTCTTCAGCAGCAGGACTGGAGCTGGACTGGAGCTGGACTGGAGCAGGACTGGAGCAGGACTGGAGCAGGACTGGAGCAGGACTGGAGCTGGACTGGACTAAGACTGGAGCAGGACTGGAGTAGGACTGGAGCAGGACTGGAGCAGGACTGGAGCTGGACTGGACTAGGACTAGAGCAGGACTGGAGCAGGACTGGAGCAGGACTGGAGCTGGACTGGAGCTGGACTGGAGCTGGACTGGACTAAGACTGGAGCAGGACTGGAGCAGGACTGGAGCAGGACTGGATTAGGACTGGAGCTGGACTGGACTAGTGAATAGAGCAGTTGTAATGTCCATCACAGGGAGGGACAGGTCCAGGGAAGTCTGTCCTGGACACAGGAGAGCAGCAGTTCCAGTTGTCTTTCCTTGTGTGTCTGAGACACACACACACACACACGTATAGATATTTATATCCATACATGTGTGTGTCTGAGACACACACACACACACACGTATAGATATTTATATCCATACATGTGTGTGTCTGAGACACACACACACACACACACACACGTATAGATATTTATATCCATACATGTGTGTGTCTGAGAAACACACACACACGTATAGATATTTATATCCATACATGTGTGTGTCTGAGACACGCACTGTTGTGGGAGTTTCTATCCACAGTAAGGAAACAGCTGGAAAGGTATTTGTCTTAATCAGGAGCGTAAGTTTATTATAACACACGTGCGGAGAACTCACATACACAAGATAGCGTACATCAGTTCTGGCGGGGCCAGTCCCAGGTCCCCGTTTACATAGACAACACATGAAAGACAGTCACGCCCACAAAAGGTGGGAGGGGTCACAGTTTGAGACGGGCATCCAGATGGCGAGGCGCCTTGCCTGGTGAGAGACAATCTTTGTTGCCATGGAGATGCAAACAGAAGGGACAAAAGACATGCAGAATGTAAGAGGTCAATAGAGATGCAGACATACGGACCGATAGAGATGCAAAATGCAAAAGGGGCAAAGGTGAGATAGTAATTTGCGTCATGTCTGTCGGTGCAGGGGGGAGACCGGTTCCTTCCTGCAGGTTAATTGAATAGAACAGCGGGGGGTGAGTTGGCGTCCTTGAGGCTAATCCAACTTGCCATAACACTCCTCTCCCGTGATAATGTAGAAACCCCAGTTTTACAGAGATCACATTCAGGTGGGTGAGTTTTGACCTTGGTCCCTGAGCAAAACAAGAGTTGTTGATGGACAGGCTACGCTGCCGTCACCCAAGCCTCTTGTATTACGAGGGTGTGGTCAAAGCTCTTCACTGTGATACCCTCCCCCTAAATTGTAGGCGGAACAAGTGGAAAAAATAAAAACAAGGTAAACAAGAAAGAAAAACGTTAGAACAGTCAATAGGGCTAAACCAAGATTAATGAGCACACTCCGCCAGGAGGACAGGAGCCAGTCCAGACCGTGAGGAGTGTCCGTGACATTGTCCGCTTGCATGGCGTCCCGGAGTCTAGTCAGATTGGCTATGCCCTGTTGGATAAGACCTCCGTCCTCATCATTAGCCGGAATATATGAAGACAATACTAACATAATAAACACGGTCAGCACGGAAAGTACTGTCAGCGTGGCCAGCATAATAGTCCAAGGGCCCATGCCGGTCTTAGCCGGACAACATTCGGTAGTCTTTTCCGCGGGAATGCTCACGAGTAGTGCCGTCTTGCAGTCAGTGACACCGCTCCCTATGAGCGTGTGTGGAGCGTTAGTGGTCATGGCGATGTTTGGTCTTGGAGCGGCAAGACTCTAATCGCGTTGAAGCCTTGGCCTCAGCACTCGGTTGGGCAGAGTGCTCGGGGTTTGGGGTGTGGCCTTGGGGTCCGGGGGCTGGGGAGTTGGGCAAAGGGGGGTCGCCTCGGGATTCGGAGGCAGGGGAGTTGGGCAAGGGGGGGTCGCCTCGGGAACGCTGGGATTCTCTGGGTGTTGTTGTTGGCCTGCTTCAC